GGGTTTTTCGTTTGTTTTTTCTAAATGGGTGGAATATGAAATGAGCAGAACTGTTGCTACTTCTCAATAGTTTTTAGGTCCTGCTTAGGATCCTTTGGTCAAGATACAATCTGTAGGTGCTGCGCAGTTCCTGCTCTCCCCAAGGTCCTGCCGTTTATAATGTATTACATATACGGATTATAATACAGAAATCTGGCAATCTGCCTCAAATCTATCTGAATTCTCCTGACCAGATCATAAATGTTTTTTGATGAAACAGAAATCAACGTGGTTTTGCTTTTTTATTGCTTGCATTATGGTAACACCCGGAGGCTTCACCGTCCTGCCGACTCACCGGCATGGCAAACGCTAATTCATGCAGTGGCCGGTTCAAGGTTGGTGGGCTGGGAGCCTCTTATGCCACAACAAAAGAAAATAGCATTGCAGTGCTTCTAAACAACACTGGTACCAGATGATAGCAACTAAATGAGATTAGTAGAATACAATTTCTTTTGACTTCTTTGGAAAGCGGTGCAGTAAAAGGATTTGTAACAATTTTCATTGATTGACGTTATGTCACTGAGATTATCTTTTAACATGTTACATAGGTACCTGACATCTGTTTGGAGACTGGAAATAATTGTCCTTAAGTTGGCCAGAAGCATGATTTTTTTCTTGAAGGTACTGAAATACCTGCAGAGATTTAGTTTGGTAAGTCTCTTTTGGCTTTGAACATACCACTTGGGTAGGTTTCTTGACACAAACATGCACCATTTACAGCTTCTAGATATGAGCAATATAAGAACATATTTGGGAGTAAGACGAGTCCAGATCAGGACTTCAGCATGTCTAATACATTGTGTTATGGCCTGAGGTAATAACTTGAGGCCTAAACTGGGCCTAGTACCCACTTGTGTGCTGCTTTTCTCCACTCGCGTGACCGCGTTCACAGGTAGCTTAGAGTTCTGACCAAAGCAGTTAAGACTCTGCCATACCAGGCATTCCACAAGTTACAAAATCCTACTTGTACCATTGCCATGCTTAATTCTGGGGGTAAAAGCGGCAAATTCTAGTCCTCATGAAAGATACTAAACAACGCAATCATCTTTTCCTTTAGATACAGTTAAAACCAGTGTCTTCTCTGTGTTCACATGTTTGGAAATTGTTGGGTTTAGTTTGTATTTATTATCCTAATAAAGCATCTGAAATGATTTGTCCTTTTTCTGATCAGTCATCCAGAGGTAGGGAAGAAGGAGTAGCACGTTAATCCTCAGCAGCTGGAGATGCTTCGGGTCCTTTGTTTGGCTTAGCAAGTCAAAATTGGCATGTTTTATCTTAATTCTGTTTGCCATACGGTATTGCTATGGACAAAGTCAGTATGTCTGTGCTCTTGAGAGTCCCTGGATGAGCTGGAAAGAGCAGTGCTTCCAAAATAAACGTGAGAAAAAAGTGAGCAGCGTGGCTAGAGAGTGGAACATGTGTCTGGAAGGAACAGGGAAGGGCTTGTCCTGGATACTTGGGTGATGGGCACTGCTCTGAAGTCCATGTGATTGTGTATGTTCACTAGTCTTGATATAGAAACTATGTGACTATGAATCATCCCAGCCATGAGTGTATGTAGGCAGAATGTTAGAACTGTATTTGCTTCAGCTCCGAAGGTACAGGGGACTAAAGTGCTTAGGCTGTATCTGTTATTTTGGATTCAAAGACAGAGCATGGCAGGCGTGTATATATATATATATATATATGTATGTGCCTAAACCCATGTTTGTGCAAGCTTCTTTTTTATCTTTTGCATCAGGAAAACGTGGGTTATTGCTTCTTCCTGGTAACTTTAAGGATCATCTTGTCTATCCATTGAGAAGTACACCATCTTTTAGAAACAAAACTGGTAAGGCGAGAAGTCTCAGTTGAAGTATATAGATGAGGCAATATTCAGAATTGTACCAACGCAGGGTACTCTTGGAGTGTAACATGGTAACCTAGGGGGTGACACGGCTTTTTGCTTGGTTTTGGCTTTGTTGAGAGAAACATGGTGGTATGTTCTTCTAGTATAAGAAAAAGCTATGGATATCTTCCTTTGCTAACACGCGCTGAAATCTCAGAAGAGTTCATGTTTAAATTACAGAGATTTTCTTCAGTCCTATCTGCTGTGAGCAGGGGGGTAAAATCAAACGTTGCCATCCTGGAATCATCTCCCTCCTGTGCCCTGCGCCCCTGTGCAATGTAACCAAAGCAAGGATCCAATTTTAATTTCCATAATTTTAGAGTGAAAAATAAAAGCAAACACAGAGAAATAGCATCTCTTCTTCTCTCCTGTTTTTCATGTCACTGACACATTGTGAAAACATGAGAAGGGAAATCATATGCAAAGAGTGGCCTCTGAACAGGTATCATCTGATGTCATCGTCGCGCACGCTGTTGTTTGCAAGAGAACTTCACTGAAAAGCTGTAGCGAGGAGCTCAGCTGAGGATCACAAGGACTCACCTGCCTCCCTCTTTATCTTCATCACTGGCAGCTCTTTGTTGCAGTTGTGTAGTTTCCATTACATTGTAAGCTCAGTCTGTCTTTGCTACTTACTAGAATACGGTCACCCATTTTTCACTCCAGCTTTTTGCAGTGTCCTTCAGGTTGGTCTGTTGTCTTTCTTCCTCATCTTTCAATCTAGCCATTGATTATTGATACAGGGACAAAATAAACCTATTCCAAGCCAATTTGCATGGAGAAAAACAGATGATTGCTAGCTCAAATAGCTCAAGAATAGATCTTCCTGCCTGTCGTCGGCGCGATATTCAGGCAGCTAGGCACATCTCTCTACAATAAAAACACGTTCCAAACTGTAGCAGAATTTAATCGGAAAATCAGATGTTCCATGTTCCCTGATGGCTGATTTTCCACCAATTAAAAAGTAGGATGAGCTCCATTAGAGCCATAACAATGCCTAACAAATCCTTCTTTAAAGGTAATTAATGGCTGAATGGTGGAATGTACATTAGTCACGAGCTGATAGCGATCTCTTCTGAAGAGCTGTTAGTTTTATTTGTGAACAGTTTGGAGTGGCAATGCCACCCAGTTTATGTGAGGCTACGCGTCTTCTGGCCCTGTACCTCCTGCCGGGCTTTGGGTAGGCAGAGGGAATAGGGCACAAGACTGAGGCTCCTCCATGTCAGAATCAGAAGGAATTAGGAGATGGTCTGCGTCAGTCAGAGGGAGAGGCAGGAACAGAGGGGAAAGGGAAGCACAACTGATTGCTGGGGAAACCAGCCAGATCCTACTCAGAAAGGGAGAAAGAAAGGGAATATCACTCAAGTTTTCCATGCTCACTGTGGGAACTGTGTTTGGCCATCCAGTTCTCTCCTGAAACTGTAGTTTGTATTCCTAATCCCTGTGCTAATGGTCAGCCCTCTTGCTCTCTGGATATCGCATTGATCTGCTGAAGACTGAAAACAGTTCATTCAATTTGGGGCAGCATTGAATTTTTACAGATTTTTTAAGCATTCAGAATGTTGTGGGAAACAAATAATGGGTGGGGTTTGGTTTTGTCCTTTCTTTTTTTCCCCATGATGTTTTGTGTTCACTGGCAAAGGCAAGAAGGGGTAGAAAACCAAATAAAAAGAAAAAAAAAAGACCCTTGAAAAAGAAACTCCCAAATTTTTCAGCTCCAAAAGCCATTTAGAAAAACAAAACTGTTCTCTACAACCTTTTGAATAAGCATTGAACAGTTTTCAACCCACTCTGTCTTCTCTAGCAGAAATATTTTTTATGATAGGCTGGACACTGAAATCATGAAGCTATGAAACAATATCAAACATAGTAATGGGTTGTGGCAGAAACGCTTTGATTTTCCTTGTTCCAAGGAGCTAGCATGTTCGTTTGCTTTTCTTTCAAATCACAGTAGGATTTTAAGGTCAGTTCCTCTATTGATTTTTCGCATATCTGCTGTGCTTTGCAGATTTTTCTTTTGATACGTACAGTGTTCTGTTCCTGTGGGCTGGTGTATTAATAGTATTTGAATCATGAATCATGTTGCAAGCTACATTTAGCTATTCCTAACTATTACAATACATAAAGTTTTGAGGCCATCAGATGCTATGGTAGTGGAGGCCAGGAGAAAGAATTAAGGGAGGAGACTGTAAGGTTTGAATCCTTGGGAAATCACTTCACAAAACATGCGTCTGCTACTCAGTTGTGCCTTACTTCTGCAAGTATGTATTTATAGTATGTGCATTTACTTTACAAAGTTTTTCAGGCTTCTTGAATTAATGATTGTTGATGTTTGGAGGAATACATCCTTTATTAATGTGTTAAATTTGTTCTTTGTTAGTATTGAAAAATCCAGTGAGGAAAGCGCAACAAGGGAACCGTTGGTAGGCAGAGAAGACCCCTTCAGATGTACAGCAGTGCTCGTTATGGTAAAAGAACGAACCTTGAGCTGGATGAAAAAGCAAAGTGAGACATCTGAGCTTTGCCCTAAGGGAATGACTGTGTCTGAGGTGTGACCAGTCACTTCCCAGTGTGTCTTGTCTGGGTTGGATCAAGCTGCCTGTCCACAGTGGATTTGGTTTTGGATGCCTTGGAGATTTTACTGTTGCAGGAAACGTAGTGCCAGCAACTCTTAGGAGAGCAGCAGAGCGCAGGTGCTTTGCTGGCCATTTGGCGTGAAGGAAGATGAAGGACAACAGGCAAGGAAGAGGCAGCCAGAAGGGGAAAAGCGAGGTCCCAAATGGAGAAAAAGAAGCAGTCACCTACTTCTGTAGTTACAGATTTAATGATTTTGTCTACTTTGCTTCAGGCTGGAAAGCAGTTATATCACAAGGTCTGAACATTTTATTCTGAAAAATGGATCCATGTCTTCAGAGTGGTTAACTGGTTCTGAACAAGGGGGAGCAGGAATTACACCATGAATTTCCTTGATGTCCAGCTCCTTACTCATCAGTTGCAGTGGCAAGCTACGGCATCTCTTCATGTTCCCAGCCTCTTTGCCTCTTCAGTAATGCCGACCACACAGAACAGCTCAGCCCCTTACGGCTGCATAGAACCTGGAGGTTAGAGATGCTGAGCTCCACTGGAGTTTTGCCAGGGGCTCCGGTCACATTAGCCCTTTCCAGCTCTTTATCATGCTGTCTCCAGCTATACTCTGACCCATGTATTTATTGATTGCTTTCCTCCCAAATCAGGCTGATATTAGCAAACATATTTTTGGTTAATTATGTTTGCATTCCTTTCTTCTTTGAGTGTTTCAAATCACTGTCTAGTATTGGTTTCCAGTTATGCTTGGAATGAGCTCAGCAATGTAGAAGTTACCGTGTTTCTCATACTGTCGGTCATTGTCACTGATCTATCCTGGACTCCTGGTTGATGCTTACTGATTCCCACATTTGTTTGTTGTTAGCTCATCACACTCTTTGTTTTAAGAAGCATTCAGAAGTTCAGCTTATCTTAATTCTCTGAAAAGGAATTAGAAATGTGAAGGAATTGCTAAAAAAGATCAATATTAGTTGCGCACATTTCTGAATATGTTACTTGCTTTTAAAATGTTGGTATGCTAAAATAAAACCCCATTATTTGTCCATCGTGACTTGTTTTTAATTGCTCTCAGCGCCAGGCTTGGTGTCACTTCATCTTCTTTTGCTACAGTCACCTCACTGGTCCTTCTGAGCTTTCCTTTGTTGGTGAAGTGCTCCCCCCAAAATCACATGAGTGCTACAGTCACCTCACTGGTCCTTCTGAGCTTTGTTGGTGAAATGCTCCCCCCAAAATCACATGAATGTATCCCCACAGAAAACCAAGCCTTAGACCTGTCTTGAAGCTCGCATGAAGACAGAATGTTACGCAAACAAAAAAACCTGATCATCGCTGCCAGAATCAGTCAAACTCTGTAAATTAACTTAGAAGCTGCCGTTCAGCTCCTCTGAGCTTTTATACAGCTTTTCTCTCTTCAACCGTCACCTTGGGGGCTCCCCTAGAACAAGTGGGGTCGCACAGGCTTGGCAGTTCCGTACACCTTTACCGCTACACCGGGGTGCGTCGGTGCTACCCCGTGCCATCGGCAGACTGGTTTAAGCATTGCGTGAAATGAAACGCCCCGAGCCAAGGCACGGCTGCGAGGAAGGCAGATAAAGGAGCCTCCCGCGTTCCCAACACCTCCCGAGATCACACTGGAGAAGCAAGGTGGTTGTAAGCCGAACAAGATGAGGTCATTGCTTGTGAAATGCTTCATAAGATCAGAACTATCGATCAGTCTTATCTATTAACAGGTGATTCACTACAAGCCATCAGTAGAGTCCCCAAACAGCCTCTGTAAGAGGGATTTTGTTAACTCTGTGTCTTATATTTTTAGGATACATTCTTCAAAAATCAATGTAGACTTATAAAGAACAGGATCTGTGGAGCAGAAGATAATGTGCAATTACATATAAATTCGTTACGGACTGAAAAAAACCCCTGAACCGCATTCGCCTGTTACAAGCTGCTGTAAATTTTGTATATAAGCACTGCCCTCTACTGCTCAGGGATTTCCACTAATGTGTATTTAATTTAAAAGATTCAATGCTGTTCTTTTTAATTGAAATGTTTGTAGAGGCTTGTCTGTAAGAAAAGGGCTCTGGATCTCTTTTCTTAAAAGAAAAATCCTAATTTATAATTTTTTACAGCCATAAACCACCTGTGTTTTTAGGTTAACATGGAGAACGTATTTTGTCAAGCACATAGTTTAGAATAAGCTGCACGCATCTTCTCAGGCAGAAAAGTGGTAGAGGAAAACACATTTTCAAGTAATTGCACCTTTCAAAACTGGCCTCAAAATCCTGTGTTCTGAATTGTGAGCGCAGGAAGGCAAAGGAATAGAAAGGTTTCAAATTGTGAAGATGCGATGGTAGCAAAAGAGTCAGCGTTTATTCCCAACGTGAAGGCAAGGTGACATAGCCAAGCTGTCTTGAGTAAATTCTTGTTGCTACTGTCTGTTAATTTTATAGTATGTTTTCTTGAGATTTGTAAGGTGCAGAACATACACGTGTGAGAGCAAGTTGAGAAAGACACAGTAACACCGTTAACGTAGAGTCACAGCGTGATGGCAAGGGCTGGGGGCTGTCACCCTCTTTGTGGGGTATGGCTGTGGTGCTCCCATATGACATCCTCCAGCATGTTTGACATGTGCCGTGAGCTACATCTGGACAGTCTTCTTTTAGAACATGACTACGTTCATTTCTGTTATTATATCAACAGAAATTTTAAAAAAAATCATGGATGCAGCAGCAAAGGTAGTATAGCAAAATAGGAGGATTACAATCATTATGCCACAGGTGTCAAGACATCATGACTGGTACTACTCTAGGTTTTAACAAGGTCACAAGGCTTGGTTTTGGGGTTATTTTTATTGTTTGGTTTTGGTTTTTTTTAAGGGCCCAAACAGTTATTTTCTGGAGGAAGTTTGAGCTTAACCTTGTGCCTTAGCCTGGTGACTCCCACTTATAAAGATGAAATTTGGACTGTTCAGCCTATAGAGAATTCCAGCACAAACCAAACCAACTGGGGAAAATGAAGCATTAGAAATGGCCCCTGTGCCCGGTGGGATCACTTGCACCTGGGAAGGGTTTCTGCTTCCTTGAAAAAGCCCTCTGTGTTGAAGAGAAGAGAGGAGGGTACCTTGAAGCTTGTGGGGTAGGGAGAGTTTTAGTTCTTGGAAGTGTTTTGGTGGGTTTTTTTTAAAGCATTTTACAGGTAAATGTTTCTCTAGGTTTGGTTGGTTTTTTTTTGGGGGGGGGTTGTTTTATTTTTTTTTTTTTAGTTTTTATTGTGCTAATTGGGGATTTGTTGATATGAGCTGTAATGTTGCTCTGGCAGTGCATTGCTACGTAGGTGTAAGCAGTGGATTGTAGGAGAATGTTGGCTTTTTGTGGTGTTGTAACTATTTAAAATACCAGTTTGGTTTGGAGAGCCTTGTTAGCCAGGTTAATGGCCTGTTTGCAGAGCATATAAATGCCTTTAATGCAGGCAAACCATAATGGGCTTCTTCATAAACAGGACATAAATATGCTTGTTCTCCTATGTTGTATATCTTATTTTATAGAAGCTTGATTCAGCTGTTGAACTTTTGAGTGGAAAAAGTAATTTTCTTTCTCTGTGTTTTGCTGCAAAGCTTGATCTGATGTGTACTTCTCAAGTGGAAGTAGGCTAAGACAACTCGGTCATCTTCTGGGTAGAAAGCAGTGTTTGTCATAGTCTGAGAATCTTGTTTAAGCTCTTGTTTTGTTCGGGTTCAAGATGAGAGCAATGGTGCCACTGTGGAGCTGTGCCTGATGAACGCGCCTCTCTGTTGCTTCTTTGTGTTCTGAGAGCAGAATCTGCTGTGCAGGCTGAAAAACTCTGTTTTGCTTAGCTTGCAAGTTCTGCTGTGCATCAGTGACTAATAGGGGTTTTTTTTTTTTCCTTTCTGGATGGATTTTTCTTTATACAAGCAACATAGTTCTTGAGTAACTATTGTTTTAAATGAAGCACAGTTTCTAAACTAATCTTCTAGTGCCTTCTTTTCCTACAACTCTGGCTTCTGTTATGACTAAGGCAGAAAATTCTAATTGCTAATGAACTTTCTCTTCCTTGCTACCTCTTACTGTGAGAGGCGCATGGTTGAGCAAGCTTGCTTTTGCTTTTAAAATCTTACTAAATGTGTAATACCTATAAAGGGTGAATTTGCTAACTCTGGCTACAGGTCTTGCAACTAAAATGCCCTGTAAGATTTTTTTTTTTTCCCCCCTAAATGTAATGTAGCACTTAACTAAGAGGCCTAGCATTTCAGATTGTTTATTACAGTGTGCCCATTCAAAAGGGTGCACTGCAGTGGTTAGCTATTATCTTAATAATGTGGTGTACCAGCTTTGAAAAACTATATATATTTTTTTTTGGGGGGGGGGATATATATATATACATATATATATATTTTTTTTTTTTCCAATTCAACATTTGCCTGAGTGACGTTTTGGGTCTGTGTGCTTATAATGCTTATCTCCCATAGCCAGTAGGTAGTTGGCACTTCCTTGGGTTGTGTTGACCTGAGTTAGGCGGTGAAGGGATTTTCAGAGCCCTTAATTTCAAATATGGATTTGATTGCATCCACCACTTAGTCACACCTGTAGTGACTGCATTCTAAAGGAATTCCTTTGGAGCAATGAGTTAAATTGATCCTGGTTCTCAGCTGTGTAATTGTACGTATGACCTTTTGGAAGTGTATTTGCCAGCCATATAGAAAGTATTAGAAGCAGGAGCTGAGTTGCAGTTTAGCTCACTCATGCAGGGAAGGGCTATTACTTTAAGTAGGATGAGGCCTTGGATAATCAGGCACTTGGTAACTCCTGTAATGTCACTCTTCCTCTTGCACAGAACTACCACAGGCAGAAAATGCCTTAGCTTTGATTTCAGGGCACCTCCCTATAGAATCTGGACCTGATCATTTTAGAGTGTGTCCTGGGGAAGCTCTTTTATAAACATATTTCTATCTATTCAATGTTTAATTAGCACAATACGTTTACGATAAATCTACTGATATCCTGGTAGTGTTTGGCTGTAAACTGAATATTATGAGACTTTGTTTGTTTGGGTGTGGCTGTTCTCTGCGTTGTTACAGCATGCCTTCTTAAATGTGGGGGCTTTT